AGCAGACGGACCCCACAGACTGCTGGAGAACAGCGGCTCTTCTGCACTCACCTCCTGACAAAACACCACATACCACATGATCACTGAGAGCATCAGTTTAACAGCCTGTGATGGGCTCAATCACAAAAGATGACATTCAAATCTTTTGAAGTCTTTCTTTGTCCAACGAGAGGAGAAGCTCACACACATAACTGTAGAACACTATCTTACAATGTGCTTTTATTCAGAGGCCAAAAAAGTGCTCCGTGCAAGGACAAAATGTTTTCCATTCACATCGTCAGTGTCACACTGGTGTTTTGGCCTCTGAATAAAAGCATATTGTGAGCAACTTTGCTACTATTATGTGTGTGAGCTTATCTATTTGTTGGAGTTATATTTTTTGAGCTTTAGTGAAGTATTATCTATTTACACATTTCTTTACTATTTTGCGTAGACGTTTCACATCTTTAATATTTAAAAATCTTTCTTAGAAATGTAAAACTCACTGACAAAAAACAACATCAAAATGAATTTCGGTTTAGTAATTATTAACACGTTCACTATAAAAGAGATCTACTAAAACCATTGCATGCATGAAACGTATTTTGAAATGTTTTTTTATGCATATTAAAAAAAAGTTATCTGTAAATGTTTGCTGATGTTTATACATTGGATCACATTTCTAAAAATTTTTAAGAGAAAAAGAGAAATATTTACCTTGTGTGCCAAAGGCATCGATATTGAATCTTCACACAGCAGCTTACTGGCAAAAGACCCATAAACCCCATCGTTCATGTAGTAGAGAAACTCAGGCTCATCGTTTGCAGACAGTGCATCTGAAAAAACACAAACATGAGTTCAATAAACACATTATGATCAGTGTAACACCTATTAGACATGCAGTGGGATTTTATTTAATATGTACAGTAAGGCTTGGCAATATTGCAAAATAAAAGTTTATACAATACGTATATATATATATATATATATATATATATACACGTAACATAAAACACAAAAAATAAAGTGTTTTGACGATTATGAACATATGACGACTAGCACTCACTGTGTGGTTGACCACTGAAATCACGAGCCACTGTTTTCTTGGCGATTATATTCACGGCCAGCGTGAAGGCAGATGACACATAATAAGCTCCGGGTTCAGCGATGATCGTCAATCCGGTCGAAAGAGGGAAATACATGTCCAGCATGGGTTTCAGCGTCTGGTTGACCTGTGCACAAAAAAACAACACCAGAAGCTCGGGGGGAGTGGGGCATAGAAATGCAAAAACAATCTTAGAAATGTACAGCAGAATACAGTACCTCGTCTAACTGCGCCTCACTTCCATCAAAGCCACCTCCGACGTCCAGAATACTCATCTCAAAGCCGAGCTCCTCCTAAAATCAAATTAATTTCTAACACGTTACCGAGGGGGAAATAAATACTGAAAGTGACATTTAGATAAATAAAGATCATTCCCTCTGTCTCAGTAGGGAAGCCCATGGCACAATCAGATCAAAATTCGATCCATGACTGCATGAGTGATGACTCACCGCCATATCAAAGACACAGCGGGCATCAGAAACAGCACGAGAGAACGCTTGTGCATCCTGACAACAACTGGGAATGTTGAATCTGTGAGCAAAGCATGAAATTAAAACTCATTCACTTCCTGCATAAATGTCCTTGGCGTAACTGTGCATGAATCATTAAAAAAATGATGTTAGTTCTGAGAAAAGCTCAATCATTAATTGTTTACCCACTAGCTTTAATATCTAATGCATGACATAGAAATATATTTGCCCTTAAACTGATTTTCAGAGGCAATTTTACCATTATAAGGGCATTTTCTATCCTTATTAGATCTATGCATCATCTTTTGTGTCAAATTTTTACATTTATTCAAATAGAATAAGAAGTCTAAGCTATAGACTGTTACCAAACAAAAGAAATCAATATCAACAAAACCAATTTTTCCATTATAGAAGCAGCACAGAAGCTGCATCTGAAGCAGCATTAAGCAGTATTTACACTGCAATTACAATTGCATAAATATTACTATGAGATTAATGTTTTTAAAATAACATTTTGAATATTGAGCTTTTTTTTTTTTTAAATGAAATACTTTAAATATTTTAACCTAAAACTGCCAGTAGGTGGCAGCAAGTCTCTGTCTTAATAAGTGAGTCATGATTCATTTACTAAACCAATTTGTTCAAAGGCTAATTCATTCATGAACAAAGCGATTGTCTATCTTAATGAATGGATCATTGATTCGTTCAGAAACGCTGATTCATATAGGAATGAAACACTGTTTTGCTTGGAGATGCATAACGGTTCTACTGCTGCTTTGTTTGGGACCATTTTCATTGGCAAAACAGAATAATAAAAACAATATTCTCTTCTTATTTACTTAACTGTTGTACCCTCAATGCGCGTCTTTTTGTTTTTGCAAAGTGAGAGACATACTTGATAATGTCAGCTATCACATTGTCAAAACAACAATTAGGATATTATTGTAAACGATACATATTGCATGCCCCTACTGTACTATGACATCAGAAATTGTGATGTCCAAATAATTTTTGAGGCCACTGTAACTTCTAAATGACTCGTCGTATTCTGTATTCTCT